CACCTTTTGACACATTTATTGCTGAGGGAGATATCTGAGAAGTTTCTAATCTTTTAGAAAACCTCAGCAACAGGATTTCCCAACATTTTTATACTACTGCATGAGAAGATGCTACTTATCTTTCTTCCCTAATTTTATCAAGGCCATAAATATCCCATGCTATTAAAGCATGGTTTGAGAATCCAGACTTCTGAGGTCTTGTCTCAGCTGTGCTCAGCTCTGTGTTTCTGTCCTCACTACAGTCAACAACGGCTCTTAGTGTCATCCTGAATTCTGCTTCCCATCCATAGGCAAAATTCTGAGGCTGGTGATGCTTCAGACAGAGCTATACCACCCAGAACCAGAACTACCAGCTCTGAACGCCAAAACAAGGCTTTGACTTTTGATGTTGGAATCACTTCTCAGGAAGGATGCAGAACAAGCCTTCGTGCCTTCCCCGCCTCCCATACTTAGGACAGATAAATCCTATCACAATTAACTGAGAAAGAAAATGTAAGTGAGGCTCATCCTTCCTCAGCACAAAGAACCACATGATGCAGTTGTCTTTCACTTATAGGATCCCCGGACAAAAAAGGCAATTCCCGGACAAAGGGAATACAACACAATCCAGGTGACTACTCAGACCAAAGCACAGCTAACACAAGTGCTAGTAAGGCACCAGTTAACTGCGCTAAAGACAGATTCTCATGTCCTTGAGCAAACCACCTGCCTTGTGCATTCCTACATATTCCCATCTGGAGGAAGGCAACAGCAATGCTATACAAACACAGCAAAGGATGCTGTAAAATAAACATTTTGAGATCTCACATGAAACTCAATCTACCTGAACTGTGATTACTATATACTGCATTTGTGTAAGGTTAATGCTATAGAAACTGGATTCTGTTAACTCCTGATTTCTCATAACAGATTTTAATGAAACTCATGTTATGAAACTCAAGTAGCTGTCCTGAAAAGAAACACATCTCATCCTGAAGGAGGTTAATGCACATTTCAGTGGGTGTCAATCAGATGCAAGCAAGACTGTGCTCTCTTGAATATGTCCTCCCTATCCTTGGGCCGCTTGCAGAACTCATCGAAAATATGCCTTTACACTGGTTTTCATAACCAGTTAGTTCCTCTCTCCACAGAGATATAGTGATGAAGCAACATGATTTGTAGGGCAGTTGGTTGCTTCATCATGGAATTCTCATACAATTAACATTTACCTAGTCAAGTTTGCAAAGTACATGGCTGTTTTTTTGACAACAGGAGAATAATGCTGTACTTACTTAACTAATTCATTAGAGAAAAGAACAAACCTAGTAAGGTATAAAGAATTTATATACAGAAAAGAATAATTACAGAATAATTAGCAAATCAGGTTATTTACCTTTTTAAACTTTTTTTTATGTGTTTCCTTATAAGCATACTATACAAATTAACCCCGTACTATATAAATGAACTTGAGTGGTTACTCACGTGAACCATTAGCAGTTAAGCTGAAAAGCTTCAGCCATCAAAAATGCCAAAGCTGTAGCCTTTTTGCATAATTAGGAAAAGGTTTTTTTATTTATTTTTCCCTTTTCTGTCCCTCTGTTCTTTATTTTAGGATGTCCCATCTAATCACCCACTTCTAGAATAACTTTGAGTCCACCTCACACACTAATATATTTCAGTTTTAGTTCTCCAGTAAAAGAACCAGTGTCATTATCCTTAAAGAGAGATACAGAGAAGTTCAGCTACCGGGCCAAAAATCCCAAAGCAACTTGACCACAGGAAAATATAGAACTCTGTTCCAACGTGTAAATCTGTGCCTCAGTCTGAACAGTTCACAGTACCAAGAATTGACTGAGGTATTTAAAAAACACTCCCAGGTGATAAGGCGATAGCAAGAAAGCTCAATTAATCTTTGTATCTATGTTTAATACAGAAACCTACAGCCTTTTTGCCAGGAGAATGAATTTAAAGCAGCAGCACAGATGAAAATAACAAAATGATATGAGGATTAACTGATAATCCCCACAGGTACCGCATGGGAAATTGCCAGACTGTTAACTGTGGTATGAAATATGGTATGAAATTGTTGGACTCAATGATCTTGGGGGTATTTTCCAACCTAAATGATTCTATGATTCTAAATCTAGCTCATAAACGAGCCTTACTGCAAGACGAACGAAAAGGAGAATAAGTGATATAACTGGTGAAAAGATCATAACCAAGAGAAATAGATGTTCAGCGTCAGTGATGTAGGGAGCTCCCCAGCGGCCTCTGAATAGGGTCTGTGATGTGACTACTGCTGTTTCATATTCCATAAATGATCCGGAAATGCTGTAGGTAGGTGGCTGATGATACAAAGCCATTCCCAAAAGTGAAGCCTAAAATTTATTCAGTGAGTGGGTGTTAAAATAGTAGATTTAATTCAAAGTTCATAAATGAAAAATAATGTATGAGGAAAAAGCCATTCTTGCTGTGCTTTTACCAGTCATAGCTTTTTACCAGCTATTACCAGTCATGAAAGAAATCCTGGAGAAGTGGATAGTTCGAAAAAGCCGTTCTTGCTGTGCTTTAAATCAGCTATTACCAGTCATGAAAGAAATCCTGGAGAAGTGGATAGTTCTCTGAAAAGATCGGCACAGTGTCAGCAGTTGGGAAACAACATCCTGTTAGGAATTTTTAGGAGAAGAATGAGAACAAAGCAGAGAATGGCATTATTCCTCTGTATAAATCCATAGTATGCCCATCTCTTCAATACTGAGCGCAGTTCCAGTAATTGTGGAAATAGAAAGCTACAGAAAGGGCAAGATTGACAGTGTACCAAAGCCACGCAAGAGATGTTGGAAAGCCTTAGCCTAAGGAAAACTTAAGCAAGCCAGAGCCTTTCAACCTGGAAAACAAGGAGAATAACAATTAAGTTCCAGACAAGCTGTTACAGCATGGAAAAGGTAAACAGCAATGATTATTTTAAAGTAGTCTTGACAGAAAAAATAGGGCACCAACTCAAACTGGCAGGCAGCAAGCGGGTTCAAAAGCAAACAAAAGGAAGTTCATTTTCACACAATACCTAATGATGTTGTGGAACTCATTGCCACGGGATGTTATGGCAGCCAAAAACACAAGTGGGTTTCAAAAAAATGATTAGACAATTTTATGGAAAAAGGTCCATCAAGGAATATAAAAAACAATGATACAGCTGCAGCCTCCAGCTCAGGAAGGTCTCTAAACCAGAAACCACTGGAAGCTGGGAGGGTTTACCAAAGGAAGTATCACTCTATACTCGTCCTGTTTTCCATACACAAGTTATTAGCCATTATCAAGAGGCAGGATATGGGGCTAGACAGACCTTTGCTTTGACTCTTTTTCACATTTGATCAATACTAACTGATGCAGATATAAACACATACCCCTCCACGGTCACGGATAATTCTGTAAAAGGCTGCTGTAGTTAAAAGGCGCACACTTAGAAGAGTAACATAATAAATGACAGCATTTTTTATTTGAGTAGGACTAGAACTGGTTTTTGCATTTCCTTAGGTACATTCTGAGTCTATGCTTTCCAGAGAGGAGTTATGATGTTACCCACCTTTTTATTACCTAACTACAGCAAAAGAAACAAATCCAGTAGAAAAAACTAGCTCCAAATTTCAGCTGTAAGCCACACAATGACTTACATCCTGGTGACTGAGAGCTTCTCAGCTTAAGAAACTCTGGAGAACTACTGCAGTAACTGCCTATCAAGTTTGTTGAATATGGCTACGCCGCACAGGTGCTTTAAAACACAGATTGAAACTTCCAGTCATGCTCTAGGTCTAGGATAGAATTTGAAGTCATGGTAAGCCTTGAACAATAGAGTGAAACAGTCCTTTAAGATCTTGTTACTTACAGACTCCATCATCCTGAACATGCTTTGCAACTTGAATGGCCGCCTTATCTTCTCCTTCTCCGACAGTGAAAACAGAGAAGGAAGTGACTCACTGCTAACTCGGCACCCCACCACCCCTTAGCAGCTATGAGCCTATGCATCAGATGACAAGCCTGCTATAACACATTACTTACCACCCTTTTCTTAATTGTTTCCCAAACCATGGTTGAAAAATAAAAATTAAAAAAGAAGACAACAATGAAGGGATTTTACCAGGATACCCTTATTCTAACTTCTATCGTGCCCCTTGGTTCAACAGCTGGGAAGGAAATGCTGCTGTCTTGGCATGACGTTACAGCATAACCTACAACACAAAAGGTACACGCAAGATACAAACACTGTGGAGAGAAAAAATGTGCATCAATCAGTAGCCACATGGCAAGTTGCACCGGTGTGTAATATACTCAGGGGTAGAATTACACAGGTACATATTCTCTGGTACACTTGGCCAAATACCAAAGGCCTAATGACTAAGTAGTCCTGTAATTCTAGCCCAAATACCAAGAAAAAAAGTTACAAATGGAGACAACTGTATTATGCACCACTTTACCCCAATAAAGAAGCCTTCCCCATTCCTCATTCAGCATCTAGTGCTTGGAGATGTACTAGCGTGAATAATTTGAGTCAGGACTCAAACCTGTGCTTAGCCATGCCAAGGAAACGTGTAATTTTTCAGGGAGAATAAATACATGCAATTTTCAAATGGGACAGAACCAAGGCAAAACTGCATACACGAGGGTCAACAAAGCTCCGATGTTCGTTTGCACATGCTTGTCCATAACTTGTTCCCCTAAGGACTACAGATCTTAGTTACAGCAATTCTCTCCAAATGGGGGGTTCTTGTGAGTCAGAGGTGAGCCAGAACAATTCTGCTTCCTACTTGTTAATCCATACTGGGATTACTGAAACCAGCAGATCCATGTTTGACACCGAAACAAACAATAATTGGAAAAGGTGGGTACTTCCTCTTTTGAAAATCACATCATTTATTTAGGCACCTGATCCCAAGACCCAGGTAGGCGAGTCTGGAGCTTTATCCTTAGACCCTTACCTTCATTCTGCCACCAATTCTAAACTTGCCACAAAAATACATACGTACTTCTATACGTTGGCTGAAATCCTGTTGCCTCATTCATGTTGCCTTCCATTAGAAATCCTTCCACAAGACAGAGCATGGAGATTCCTCGGGTCAAGGACTCTGGTTTGTTACGCACTTCTTAACACAGTAGCCAGCACAAACAGGGTCTAGGGCCTGGAAGTGGTACTACAAAAGATAATAATAATAGTAGCTTAAGTAAAAACAATCAAAGATAAAAACCAATAAAACATCCTCTGCTCCCCTTAAGAAAATTTGTTTATTCACCCCCTCACAAAGGAGGTTGCCCTATTTATCTGCCGGGAAACCTCAGGCATTCCTTGCATGTGCGGCACAGATGGTCGCCACACAACAAAAGGCAGAAGGGCTCCCCGCACATGCACGGTGGACGTGTCTGGTTTCTGGATACACAGAAGCTTGGTCAGAGCTACTGCTCCAGCAGGGCTGCTATGCATCCAAAATCCCAAACAAATACAGAAAGCCATCAATATCCTTTGAACATCTCTTAGTGGAAAGAGACTGTCTGGGAAAAAGGAGATGCACAGTGACCTTGGTTGTGAGTCTTAATTCATTAGTGTACATAAATTGTTTTGCGATCCTGAGGTGGGAAGTGCTAAGGAAGCAGAACTATTATTTATTAAAGCTCAAGGCTCTGTTGTTTCTTCATCCTCAGATATTCTTCACATCTGAATTTTCATTCATGGCCATTGCTACTTCAAATTTTTTTCAGCCGTCTCGATCTTTTCTATACCAAATGGAATTGCCCCAGGCAGAGAATACGCAGTATCTAGATTTGCTCATTGCATTTATTTATCTTACTCTTTTCTAATTAATTTACTGCTTTGACCCCAGTCCTGCTCTTCCTTTGATTTTATAGTCAGATATCAAATGTGGCTGCTCTCCATGAATAGTAATTATTTGGAAAAAAAAAAGGCATTAATATTTTTACTACCTTGCTAAACATACACTTCTACAGTGTATGGGAAGGGGTCTGCAAGGTCAATTTTAGCAAACTGAGTATAAATATCGTTGCTAATTCTTCTGTACATTGAAAGGCAGAGCAGTTTGGCAGTAACCATTTCAGTTCCCAAGGTAGACAATACAAGCTGTAATCAAAGAATAAACCTGAGGGAACTGCATGAACTGAAACAAAGCAGAGCAGAAAATTAATTCTGTAACACATTATGTTCTGTGATACAAATTGTATACAAGTTTCTGTCCTCCTTCACGAAATTACTGAGTGCAGAACTGTATTCTATGTAATACATGAAAAAATCGCTAAACATGTTTCTTCTTTTGAAGGAGTTATTCTAGCTTTCAGTATTTAAAATACATGCTTTTTTTTTCTTCAAACAATACAGGATACAAATCTCTCTGCTTTTTCCTCAGCTTAGTAAGAACATAAATAAACCAGGAAATTAAAGACAAAAAAAAGAGAAGAGAAAGCTACCTTTTCCGCATCCTGTTGTGCCTAAATAGAACATGTAGTACCACCCTGTACAACTTCTCAATAAAATGTATTGCGAACACTTCAAAAGCTGACCATAATCATGAGAGTTAAGTGAGGAATGTCAGCTTGGACGGGGGATTTCGCTGCTTTTGTTATACATTAGTTAAGCATGCAGGTTTGTGTTTTTTACTTTATCTTGGATTTCACTGTAATGTAATTGAACTCTGTTACCTTTTTCAGTATCCTAAGTGTTCCTCTAAGTGCTTGTATGGATTTGGGTTTACGGATATTGTAACAGATCCAGAGGCTATTGAAGTCAGTGGCAGAAGCCTCTGCAGAGCTTGTTTAGTCCTTCGACGTGGAAACTGTTTTTTCCTCTTTTCTTAATACCCTTGGGATCAACCTTCAGACATGTTCAGAAATAAGGTGACCGCTATGAATCCAGTGGCAAAAGTCACACTTACTTCAGCAAAACCAGGCTTTACAGAAGAGCGTATTTGATTGTAGTGGGATCATTCACATTATATGAGTTTCATGCATTAAATTCACAGCATTTACAGGATTATGTCCTTAATAGTAATTCCAGGTTTGGGGTGTCCCGTCATTGTGTCTGTCTCCCCTCACCTTGGACCTCCATCATTTTCACCAAGGCACAGTTTATTTCCATCATAAAATCATAATCTTTGCTTGCAAGTGAGTTGCTTGAACTCCTCAGACAGTGGTATCTCCGTGTAACCACACATGATAAACCAATAGCCAACAAACACACTTCTGTAGATTTTACTATCTCCGGAGCAGACTATATTTCTATGAAAAACACAGTTTTGGGCTTCATGTGTCAAGTTCTGCATCAAATACACCCCTTTTACAGCCACAGCTCTGACAGGAAAAACCACCCCCACCCCCCATTTAAAAACCAGATTCCTCATCCACTGCAGACACACGTGTGGGTGTTCCACGTCGTAATATCGCAATTTCCTTTCGTATCTTCGCAACAGAGCACTGCCTGGGCCTGTGGGGAGAGGAGGCTGCATGCCTCCTACCCCTTTCCTCTGGGGTGGATGTGGGGAAAAGCACCTCACTGTGGGGTGAGACCTCCTGAGGGGAGAGACCCACTGAGGGGGTATCCACTGTGGGAGGGAGACTCTCTGGGGGGGAGAGACCTGCTGAGGGGATACCCATCATGGGGTAGACTTGCTGAGGGGAGACCCACTGAGGAGAGAGACACGCTGAGGGGAGATCTGCTGAAGGAAGGCAGCTGCTGAGGGGATAGACCTGCTGAGGGGATACCCACCATGGGGGGGACCCGCTGAGGGGAGAGAGCTACTGAGGGGAGAGAGCCCACTGAGATGAGACCCTCTATGGGGATACACCGTGGGGGAGACCCGCTGAGGGGAGCACGACCGATACCTCAGCTCCGGCCGCTGATGCCCCCCGAAGGAGCCGCTGCGGCCCGGGGCGTCTCCAGCAGCAGAGCGGGCTGGTGGCCTGGGGGCAGTTTGGGGAGTTTGTCTGTGGTTCTCTCTGGCCCCTGGCGGGGCCCGAAGGAGGGCGTTGGCGACACCTTACTTCAGGGACATGAAAGCCCAGTCCGACTCCCCAGCCTACCGGGGCTTCCTCAGCTCCCCGTCGGCGGGAGGCGACGAAGCGGCGGCCACCCCGGTCCCCAGCGCCCCGGGCCGGCGGGGCAGGC